CAAGCCATTGAAGGAACAGGATTTGAAATTGCTACAGAGAAGACTGAGTGCACCTGCCCGGGGACCTACCTTGGATTCCAAATTGGCGAAAGGACCATCGTACCTCAGGAGCTCATCATCAAGGACAGTCTGAGAACTCTGAGGGACCTAAATTAGTTATTTGGAAGCATAAGCTAGGTTTGTTCACTGCTAGGGATCACGACCGAGGACCTTGCACCCCTTTTCAACTTCCTTAGAGGCTCTGATGACCTCGACTCCCCATGAACCATCACACCAGAAGCCCACGTAGGAATCCAAAATGTATCAGAGGCACTGTGCTTAAGACAAGCCCACCGTGCTGATCCTACCCTGCCTTTCCAATTTGTCATCTTGGTAAGTCATCCAGGTTTCATGGGCTCATTATCCAGTGGGACCCCACTCTGAGGGACCAGCTTTTAATCATAGAGTGGGTGTTCCGATTGCACCAACCACATAAGACTATCACAACACCCCAGAGTTGATGGCTTAGCTCATTATAGAAGTCAGATCATGCCTCAAAACCTTAGCAGGGTGTGAGTTCACATGTATTTACCTTCCATTGACAGCAGGTGATCTGGAAGCTTTGCTCCAGACCAATGAACACCTCCAGTTTTCTCTTGGCAGCTATCCAGGTCAAATCTCTGTCCATCTACAGAAACATAAACTATTTAATGAGTTTTCTAGGTTTGGAAAGACAGGTGTCTGCTAAGGAAGGCAGGAGCCTCCCCTGAAATGGAAAAATGTAAACCCCCTCCCTCAGAACTGCTATAAATTTTAAATTAAAGGGCTCTCAGGAAAAATATGGGAGCAGGAATAAAAGTTCTTTATTAGGGAAGAAAAAAAAAAAGATAAAATAAACAATGCAGCAAACCAAAACAACACTGACAGAGTCAGAATACAACCTGACACCCTGTTGGTCAGGGTGCTGGTAGCAGTCCAATTGGAATTGTGGCTGCAGTCCTCCTGGAGTGTCAGGTGTGGTTCTGTTTGGGCAGGGATCCTGTAGAAGGATGTAGTCTTCCTCCGAAGATCCAGTGGAAGAGGCAGCTGTTCCTCTGGGAAATCCAGTGGAGAAGCTGTGTTGGTCTTCCAGAATCTCAAGATTATATCTGGGTAAGAATCCTTGGCTCCTCCCTCTGGGCAGAGCATCTCACAATGGGATGACATAGTTCTTATCAGTCATGCAGTGACATTCAATAGCCTATTATCAGCAGATGTCTCCCCAGAGGGAGGAGTGGTTGTGGAAGAGATAAGGAAAACTGCCCACTTAACAGAAGACAACTGCCATACAGATGGCAAATAGAATACAATTTGCTTGGCAATCCAGGACATGAGTGTTTTAATTTGGTTCCAAAATCATTTAAGAGTCGAACTCCTTTTAAAGGCACTGACTGTTTTAACTGATGTCTGCAGAAAATCCCACAAGTCAGTTATGACTTGGAAAAATCCTGACACTCAGGAGTGGGAGTCTGATGTTCAAATTGTTCAGGGATCCCCACAAATGGCAGAATTAGCAGCCGTTGTCAGAGCATTTGAGAAGTTCAGACAACCCTTGCATCTGGTTACTGATTCGGCTTATGTTGCTGGAATAGCGGAAAGAGCAGAACATTCCTTATTAAAGGAAGTGCCAAATCCAGATTTATACAGCTTGCTTTAGAAGTTAACATACCTCCTCTCCCACCAAGAGCAACCATATCACATTATGCATGTGAGGTCACACACTGACCTCCCAGGACCAATTACAGAAGGCAACCAGAGAGAAGATATTTTAGCCACGGCAGTGCAGACCACCCTACCAGACATTTTTAATCAAGCCAAATTGAGCCATCAATTTTTTCACGAAAATGTACCAGCCCTTGTCCCTATGTTCAAAATCACAAGGGAGCAAGCAAGAGCAATTGTGGGCTCCTGCTCCAATTGCCAGGAGTTTGCTTTGCCCTCTATGGGGGCTGGGGTTAACCCCCAAGGCCTCAAAAGTTTACAGCTGTGGTAAACAGATATCACACACTACGCATCCTTTGGGAGACAGAAATGTATCCATGTGTCCACAGATGCCTTCTCTGGGGCTGTATTCCTATCTGCCCACTCAGAGGAAAAGGCCAAAGACATGATCAAGCATTTTCTTCTATCATTTTCCACCCTAAGCATTCCCCAAGCTATCAAAACAGATAATGGTCCAGCTTACACCTCCAAAATTTTCAAACCATTCCTAGATCAATGGGAGGTGAAGCACACCACTGGCATACCCCACTCCCCAGCAGGGCAATCTATTGTAGAGAGTTCACCGTCCACTCAAGAGAGTCCTTGATCAGCAGCATGGGGGAGTTGAAACACTACCAAATGTAGAAAGATTATGTAACGCTCTTTATGTCATCCATTTTCTTAATACTTCATTTATGGAGCCAACCTCCCCATTGTCAGGCACCAACACTAGCAGAGCTCAGCTCACAGAGAAACCCCCTGGGCTGATCAAAGACCCCAAATCCAAGCAAATAATGGGTCCATTTACATTAGTAACTTGGGGCAGAGGCTATGCTTGCATGTCCACAGAATCTGGCCCAAGGTGGATTCCTGGCAAGAATGTCAAGACATTTATCAAGTCGCCAAATACAGCACCCAGAGACACTTCCCCAGAACCCCAGAGACAGGAAAGAGGTCAAGCTTGGGTGGTGTGGAGCAGAAGAAGGAAAAAGACTGTAAACACAGATGTTCGTCACAGAAGCAGATGACTCTCTACTCCTCCAAAAGATTATAAGACTCTCTCTTGATCAATAAACTTTTTGGCCAATGGGGGATTGACAGGATGGGATTCATCTTTTGTTTAAGAATTTTTTTCAATTGTAATAATTGTTTTTATTGTTTTACTCATGTTTCCCAGTTTATTTAAGTGTCTGCAGAAGTCCATTGGGGTCTTCTTAGTAAGAAAAAACAGGGGAATTGTGGAATCCTCTGGATCTTTTCCCCTCAGGGAATTCCCCAGACCCTCCCTTAGAGAGACATACCATAGAGTTTCCCCATCTGGGCAGACAGAAAAGACTTCCCTATGGAGTCTTGCACAACACATCCATCCCAGTTCCCTTCCCCATATGTCCCAACTTCCCCTGGTTTCTCCTTTCCCTGTTTCCTCATTGTTTGTGGTGCCCCGGTGGCCAGCCCCTTCTTCCCTGAAAGCCAATCCCCTTTGCCCTGCTCCTTAGTACTGCCCCCATAGCCTCCCCTACTTAAACCTTGCAGAGAGCACATGGTTGATCTTTAGTCTCTGGTTTCCCCTTTGGTATGCAGAAATAAACCTCAGTGGAATTAACTATATAAAAGGCCCTTCTGCCTCTCTTTGCTGAGCTTGCTGTGGTGAGTGTGGTGTGTGTGGACTTGGCTGCCTTGCCTGAATGTTTACCCAAGCAGCATTTCCACAGGAGATGCTCATTGGGGAAATAGGTAGCAGCAACCACCATCTAAACCCCCACACTGCTACACAGGCTGGCTCGTACTGTGTGAATTAAGGAGCCCCTGGGTTGACTGACAGGGGCCTCGTCCAATTACATCTCTCCTAAGACTGCAGGCATTTCACTGGCCGGAACCTGAAGGGGCATAGAGATCTGACCAATGAAAGTATCCAGACCGGGTTTTTCAAATGCTCTATATAGAGAAGGGCTTGGGAAATAAACTCTCTCTGTTGCCACATGAACACCAGGGTAAGTGGTCTTTGTCTCCTGCCCATCCCCCACGAGTCACATCACATCTCCCTTAGCTTTATATATCTGAGCTGGCATCATATGGTATGGAATATCCCTTTGGCTAATTTGGATCAGCTGGCCCGGTTGTGTCCCTGTGTCCCTTCCCAGGATCTTATCCACTCTCACTGCCTTTGATGGGGGAAGGAATGTCAGAGGGACAGCACTGCTCAACAGTAGCCAAAACACTGGTCTGTTATCAACACCTGTCCAGCTACCAATGCAAAGCACAGCACTATGAGGGCTGTGAACTTTACCTCAGTCACACCCAATACAGTGGGTATGTTAGCTTTAGCATTTGGTGACCTTAGAGACAACGGGACATGGCTCATCCAGCTGTCCTTTCCTGAGAGATAGAGAGGTAATGCCTGTTGCTATTAATTCTGCTATGCCTTTTGCTGCTATTGTGAGTGTTCAGGAACACATAATCACAGAATGATTACATGCAGGTGCTTTTATTAAGGAGCTCTGGGTGTCAGGGGTACACAGACCCAAATCTGACCCAACATGGTTTTGAGCCAAACATGGTTTATATTCTATTGTTATATAACTTACATAATAATTATTAAACTTATATTGTTCTACTGTATACATTGATTTCATCCAAGCATGGATTTCTCGTGATCCTCATCAAACCCCTAACATAGTTTCTCATGATTCTTTAAACAGTAATTATATCTAATCACAATTAACAATTATATCATTTATCATATACTGACTACACAGGTGCAGTTTCACACGATCTAGCAAATACAAAGCCTAACATTTCCCAGGGCCTACCTTTAACATTTTCCCAGGGCCTAATAAGCCTAACTTTCTTTCTAACTCCCCGAATTTTCTATGCTTTTAAAATCTTTTACTATCACTATCAAATGTGGAGATTCTCAGTTCAGTCGAATTCTCCCAGGCTTCAGGCCTGGGAAACTTAGAGAGGAAGAATGAAAACAGTTATTATCTCTCTTTCTGTTCATGTTGTTTATAGATATGTACCTTCAGAGTGTGCTATCCATAGTTCACCAATAGTGTGAAAGGTTTTTACTTTGAGACCAATCAGATTTCACCTGAGCGATCCTGGTTATAAAAGGACGCTACCTCTTAATAAAGTACCTCTTTTTTGCCTTCTGAATCATGGAGTCATTTCATCCATCCCTGACTCAACAGCGTCAATCAAATCTGAGTTTCTGCAGCTGTATGGTGGCCAACCAGGCTGTTGCCCTAATTTTGCTTTCCCTCTTTGTATCCCATATGCAGAGAAGCAGAGGGAGCTGGCTCAGAAGGGCTTCCTGAAGAATGGCAACATGGGAAGCCCAGTTAATCAGCAGCCCAAGAAGAACAATGTGATGGCACGAACAAGGTAAAGGACTGGAAAAGCACTCCTCTGTGCTTTAAGCTGCAATCCCTAATGACCTTAGGATGGGCAAGGATAATGGTCATTGCTATTTGCCTACTGCCAAACATACTGCGAGAGCAGTGATAACCCTTCCCGGTGCTGACACGCCCAAATGCTGTGTTGCATTCCATCCCCTGGGGAGATGCAGGGACAGCTGGGCTCAGGACTGGTGACAACGCAACCTGAAGGAGGCAGAGGCAGCCCAGCCTGGTTGAAATTAGGGATTTGATATGACTGTTTTACATGTTCTGGGTAGTCTCACATAACACCTAATCCTGACAGCAGGAGAGTGTATGATGCTGCTTCATGTAACACAAACTGATTGAAAGCTTAATTCTGCTTTGGCTGCTTTTATTACAGTAGTTCTCCTGTTCCTTTTTGATGATGACCCCTTCTCCATACTTATTGACTTAAAAAAGAATTGTGAGCAATCCATCTCTGTGTGCTTTGCCATATACCTCCTCCTCATTTGAAACAGCATGGTCATACTTTGCTGGAGCTACTTTGGCACATCTCTGTATGACAGTATCAGACAGTGCTACAAATTGCTGTAAAAAAGGATGTTATTGGATGAATACTTTCATTTAGAATGTTTCTATTGTTTCCATGCAAGCTTCTGTACACCAATGTATCATTTACCTGCATTCAGGAGTAAGGAACCTCCCCTGAGTCCACAGGATTATATGCTTTGCAGTTTTTAGAGGAGGACCTCACTTAGAATAACAGCAGAATATGATAAAGTTGCTTGAATTACCATATATTACATAGAAAGGGAACTGCAGATCAGAGCCTTTCTGTTAATTAATTAATTCCCAAACCCCACAATAGTAGTCATAAATCATGCCAGGACTTTTTCAAGTTTTATTTGTAAGCCCCTGTGATGTTGGAACATACTGCATTGCTCACTGCTCTGTTTGGTTGTTGAGATCATACAAAGGAGGCAGACCCTTAGTGGCAGCAAGAAATTGGGCAGATGCTCCCACTGGCTTTTCCATGCTTCTTGTCTTCCAAATACAAACTGAAAAAAATTGGTTTCTTTTGACAATAGTGTTGCCTTCAAGGTGTGGCGACCTGGTTCTAAGTCCGGCATGGTGGCCCAAAGCCCAGGGTCACTCGGTCCATATGCCCCTGACACCAATGTGGTGGACAGCAAATGGTGTTTATTGAGGGGTCTCAGGGGTTTATAATGGCTTGGGCAGTCAGCGTCATTTCCTTCTGCTCACGTCCGGCTGGGTGCAGCCAGGCACGGAGCAAGGGTCTGACTGCAGGGTGGGGGGTGTCCTATCTAACCGTACAGCCCGAATCCTTCCGCACGCTTGTCCCTGACTCTCCACACAATAGACTGAACACTAGTTTTCCAAGAGGAATGGTAGAAGATTTGCTGCTTGAGAAGTTTAGAAACACTGAAATTAGTGAAGGAAGATGCTAAGGGAGAGAAGATGGGATATGTACAGGTGCCTACTTGTAAAATTAGTGACTTCTCCTTGGAGAGGCTGCCCTTTCTGAGCTGTCAATGAAAAGAAGCGTGATTTCGGTGGGAAAGGACTGAACAATGACACCCATCAACAAAAGCTTTAAGCAGCCAGTTCAGTCCATTTGTGTACACCTGAGCACTGTTCAGGGGACATGTGGATGCCTCCACTGCCAAGAAGAGCCTGTTGGCAGTAGACTTGCATTTCTTAGTTACTTTTCACACAGCTTTTAGAAGCATCACTTGGGATCTGCAAAACAGAGGTTTGCAGCCATTGTTTTAGCAGCAGATGTAGCCAAGCTCCATTGTTCCCACATGGCTGGGAGATATCTGGCACAGGGTCTCACTGGCCCATGTCTCTTAATCTCCCAGCTCCCTTGGCTTTCCAAGAGCCAAGCAGCACCACAAGCATAGCCCTAGTAATACTTCAGAATGGTTTTGTCTGTTTTGCCACAAACAGGGAACCCCAGGAAAGCAGAAATACCACAAGCTTGTTCAAGCAACTTTTCACAGGATAATGACTGCAGTACAGTGGGAGATATTCCAGTGGGATACTCTGCAAAACATTCAGGTTATGGTAGTTCTTTAAAGTCTAAACTGTTGACTTCCTCTGGTCTCTGCAGGAGGAGAATAAGCTCAAGCCATGTCCACATTTTTAACAGTTCTGCTCTTCTCCTCATCAAATATGTTTTCCTTCATTCAAGGAAACCACAGTACCTCTCCTAGTCTCTACTTCACCTTTTACTCCTTTCTTAAGGCTTTTGTTCTGTATTTTCTGTATGAATTTCTTACATTCAGCTTCTAGTACCAGGTAGCCTTCACTATTCAGTCTTCTGGGTCAGGGGCACAGCCAGCCTTAGAGGTAAAATGCTCTGAATCTATAACACAATTGGTCCCCCTAAGAGCAAATAATAATATGTGAACAAGGTTGAGGTGTTGCTGGCATACTCACTATGAGCACAGGTCTTACAAAAATTTTGGTTAAATAAAAAACTCCTTAACATCAGTGTAGCATTAAGAAGCAGGCATTCTTTATTTGGCTGGATACATGGGGGGATAGCTCCTCCCAAATTCATGCATACTGAGTACAGGACAGTTTCTGTTTATATACTGTATTTTGCATACATATTCATTGATTGTCCTGGACTAAACATACACATGATAATAATTTCCCTGAAATCATTAACATATTTGCCCTCCCCTTTACATATGCATTCTTCTGTTCTGTGGATCTCTCTGGAGGTCCCTGGTGGTAATAGACCCCAATGTTCCAGGTGACCTGGCTGAGGTGGCAGGACACTGAGGCTGGTGAACTTCCAGTTCTCCTTCTTACACAATGGGCCTTGTGCAGTTTCCATTGGCCAGTAGTTTTGGAGAACAAGCAAGTGTATTAGCTCACCAGGTATAGTCCATTTATCATCTGGTAACATTCCCCCCCTTTGAGGCTTGTGAAGCTTGTCTTCTTTTGCAAGCCTTCATAAGCCTCACTTTGCCTTTTAACTAACATCATATAAGTTCCTCATGTTGCATTAGCAATCATGTTTTTATGTAGTTTAAAGCAAGTATCATAATTACAATTATTACTATGATCACAATTATACTTTGCAAAAGAGAGGCCAACAACCAGTTAGAGAAAATCCAAATCCTTTAAATATTTTGTTTAATGAGTTACTTTCTAATCCTGCCCTTAATTCTCTGCTGGATGGATCAACTGATTTTATCCTCTGTATTTGATCATACAAGTCAGCAGTCACATTTGGAATGTGGACACAAGTATTGTTGCTTAAATTCAAGTATCCACATACTCCATGTAACAGCATTAAGTCTAAGGCAAATCTGTTTTGTACGGTCATTTTAGTTATGGCTTACAATTGTTCTTTTATTTCCGTGAACCCCAACTTAGTTGCATTTGCTAAAGTTTCCATTTTCGGAGTCAAACTGCTTATGGTTAGTCTATTCCAGAAGGTAGATATCTGTGGAGTGAAGATGGATTCTAGAATCCATCCCATTATGGTTCCTGTACAAGGGTATTTCCAATTTTCATCACGTTTAACTTTTCCCTGTAGTCAGGTTCCCAGTGGTGACTCCTTCCACAAGGGACAACATTAATACCCCCAGTGTCCATTGTGCTTTTGATTCTCCCAGGGGCAAATGTGTGGGCCGGATTCCATTACTTCCACCCATACTGTGGGTCCTAATGATTTTGCCATGTCTTGTTGACAGTCTATACCTTTCCAAGTCTCGTTTGTTAGGTGACACCAGGTGTCATTAAGAAAGGTAGAATAATTTCTACAAACATGTCCTCACCTTAGATCCTGAGCCACAGTTATGAGTCACTGTATGTCAGGATTATTACTAGTACAAGTGTATACTTGAGTGCAATTCTACTTTTTTTTTATCTTTGGATTCTTTTGCCTTGACCTTAATAAATCAGAATATTTTATACCTACCTGTAAGGGGTCTTCTGGGAGGCCTGAATTCTCTTCCCAGTCTAGACACCACTGAACTGGATGAAGATCTTTCCTTCGTCCCATTTTGAGGGATGTTCCGTATTTCCGGTATTTGACATCCCCAAGGGGTATTAGTGCAGTCTGTCAGCCAATAAATATTCCCTGAGGTTATTTCCAGATCTGGTTTTGAGATATTACAATTCTCAACAGTATCATTCTTATGTGTCCATTATAAGGAATATTCTCATTCCATCCCTGACCAATTGGCATGGGTGCTATTTCCTTTCCATGTGTTCCCAAATTTTTGTCAAATTGCTGACTAAAGCTCCCCACGGAACTGGATTTTCTGCAGAGGTTGGTGTTGGCAAACAAGCTGTTATAGAGGTTACATTCTGTAATCTGCCAAAATCTTGCACTAGCTTCAAGATCACATTTCCCTTCCCCAGAGATTAACAACATAGTTTCTATTATTATTATAATTATGCAATTATTTATCATCTTCATTTAGATCCAATAAATAATATCCCCCTAGAAAATCATATCTTATACCTAAAACAATAGGGTTTATATACAAAAAACCCTTGCACAATGTTAATTAATCTTGTTTCTGCTGTGTTTAATGTGTGGTTGCTGGTTTTACCCTCGTGTGATAGACCCAGGGTTCGATTCTTTCTACCTTAAGTGCTGTGTAGGTTACCAGGAGAACTTGAAAGGGTCCTTTCCTCTTTTCTTCCAAGGGTTCAGAGTTCCAGGTCTTTACATATACAAAGTCCTCAGGTTGGTATGGGTGAACGGGTGCATTCAAAGCAACTGGTCCCGATATGGTTATAAACCAACGGAGTCCAGCAAGTGTTTTTCCTAAAGAAATTAAGTATAGATTTAAATCTGTTTGTCCCTTTGAATGTATTTCTCCGGGAATGGATGGTGTTTGATACGGCAATACGTACAGCAATTCATAGGGACTTAGTTAGGTTTTTGACCTTGACTGAATTCTGACTCACAAAAGAGCCAGAGGGAAGGTCTGTGGCAATTTTAAGGAAGCT